TTGCATAATAAAACTTATCAATATTGTACTAATTCACGGTGTTATTCTCATATTTACTTAAAAAATAAAAAACCTTGGTGCAACTACGAGCTACGTTGCTCCAAGCGACAAAATGAATATAGGTCAAATTTAAAGAAACGCCAACCTGAAGCAAATAGTTCAATTAAAATTAAAACTAGTTCTTTCGATCAGTTCAATACCGTAATTCATTGAACAAACCAACTAGTTCGTGAACTCCCAACTCTGCAAGGAACGCAATAAGGTAATTGCGGCAAATGGCAATGGAGTACACGCTAGAAACGGTAAATTTGGCATCGCCGCATATGGGGACGTATGGAGAATCTAGGGCGACACAAATGTTTACTCCATATGTATTGGACAGATTTCAATGAAATTTGGTATTTAGGGGTTTCGTCGTCACTGGTTTCGAAATTTAAATCCAATATGGCGAACGACTTTTTTTTAATGACATATGTTATGAAACTTGGTATCCAGGGGTTTCCGTCCTGACTGATTTCGAATTTGAAATTAAATTAAACTTAAACTTAGTTTTGATTTATTATGTTATAATTTTAAGATATTTAGAGTCGTTTTCTAAAGTTATCTGCCCTTTAAACACAAAAGATTGTTCTGAAAATATGCTTGAAAAGGGCAGATAAATTAAGAACTACTTTGTGCTTAAGCTACTACTTTCCGTTCAAAGTCAACACTCTAGACTGGTTTATAAAGAGTATTTTATAGGTATGTGTGATAAGGTTTAAGGAATTTTGTTTTTCTATTTTCTGTAGAATATTTTTAGGTACCAAAGTGCCTACCAAATCAGTTTCAAAACTACCAAATTTTTTATCATCTGAGTATGAGATTTCATTTTATTTCATATTTTTTTACTTTGGTAAATACCGGATCACATGATTGCATTATTGTACCCATTTGTACAATTGTTTATTTGATGTATTGTTATAAACTTTAAAAATTTAAAACCATTTAATTCGAAATTCCTTTTGAAAATTTATAAAAATCGTTTATCATGATTGAGGCAAGGTCCCACATTTCCCGATCACAAAATTTAGGCACCAATTTACGCAACATTTTTGGAAAATTCCCAAATTCGAGATCATTCCAATTTATACGGGCAAATCTAAAAAACAGGCGCACTTTCAAAACAAAAAGTTTAATTTTTCAATTTGTGGGCACACCTCTATTTTGTATATGATTCTATTCGCAATCTCTTAATAAATCGATAAATAAATATGTCTAGGGGTAACTAATTTTCATAAAGTGCTTCAAAATTTAGACGAGGAATAAACATTTAGATCGCTGAATTAGAAAACAAAAAATAAGCTGGGTTCAAATTACGCCGTGCAAGTTGTAAATTTTAAGCAAAGATTTTGAAAAATGAACTCACCTAATTGGGGCGTTCTCAATTCAATGACATCCCCCCGTTTTACCAGATTGGCTCCGGTTTTCGAGATAACGGTCCTTGAAAATTTGATAAAATTTCAACTATTTTATAAATAACTTCCTCAGTTTTGAAGTTATTTTACTAACATTTTACACATAGCGGGTTTTTAATCTTAACTTAATTACTCCTTAAAGTTATAGGTTCACTCTCTAATACAACTGATTACTCAGATATGTGTTTTTGAGCTATAACTGTAACTTCATGTCTAAATAATAAATTGTATGCGTGAACCTATGTTAAAGTGAACCTCTACTAAATTTTTACCTGCTTAATTGGAGGAGTTATAACGCAAAACAACGTCTCTGAACAATCATTTATAGTTATAGTGAACCGATTACGAGATAGTGAAAGTAATTTTAAAATACAATCGTGTGCAAAATTTTAGTAAAATATCTTCAAAACTGGGGAGTTTTTTATAAAATAAAAAAAATTAAGTAAAAGCAGCTATTTGAACCTTTGTCGAAAAAAAGGTGATTTGATGCTGCGCTAGAAATATTCTGACTACATTGAGAGTAGTAAATGAGAAGAGAAAATGTGTTTGAAGCATTTTACAGATATATGTAACGATGTAAGGACTAGTAGTTAAAAAAAGATTTATATCGTTTCGACGTATTTTCCAAATGTGCCTTCAATTAAGATGTTTTTGGAATAAAAATTATGCACAAGATCGCAGAATATTTTATCTTTCAAAGTTGGTTTATTCTGAAAGCACACCTCACCAAAAATATTTATATAGCTGGTATTGCAGCGTATGTATACGACTGAAGACCTTTCCTGATCTAACTCAGTCGATATACCGTTTTCTAATCGCATTTGCCAATGTGTTTTAATTTATTTGACGACATTGTCATTGAATTTGACATAGTGAAAACAAGGCTTTACCATCTGCCAAGTGGAGGGTTAAGGCCACCGTCGCCACTTGAACATAATGAAGGGACCAAACATTTATTACCATTTAAATTATTTGTGTGGGTACTTTTTCGCGAGTATTTTTTTTCATTCCCACCTCGAAATTTTGTGGGAAATACCCAAAAAAATCCCCGAAAGTTTGAGCTCTAATATTAATATTAAGTGCTCGACCAAGGCGGGTAAACTTAGATTTTTTCTTCAAAATTCTACAGAACAGAAGCATTTTATGGTATAATCTTTGTCAATGATAGGGTTTCCTCAGAATTGAATGCTCTACAAAAGTATTGCGGCGTAACCGAATCTCCCGCCAGCGAAGTTCTGGAACACCAAATCGCTAAGTTTAGGTAGTGTAGAATTTTCACAGATAATTGAACTAAATTGTAGAAATTGTTGATCAACTTCAAAGCCCAATATCCCAAGATGTATCAACGTTAGCGATACATCTTAGCTTTTTTTAGGTATTTCCCACAAAATTTCGAGGTCGGAGTATTCGATGAAAAAACACCCCAATGTACATACCGACTGCTGAGTGGAAGATCGACCTATCTCGGCAGCCAGTTCGAAAACGCCCTATCTGAAAAAACTTTTCAAGAAAGCTCTATTTCAGAATTTTGAAAAACAGCCTATCTCAGAATTTGGTTGAAGAACGCCCTATCTCCGAATCCGGCTCAAAAACGCCCTAACTCACTTCAAAATGTACTGCAAATGTGCTGATATAGGGCGTTTTTGTAACGAATTCTGAACGTTCAGGACGTTCTTCAACTGAATTCTGAAATAGGGCGTTCTTTAAAAGTGTTTTGAGATAGAGCGATAGGTCGATCTCCCACTCAGCAGTCGATATATAAAAAGTATTTAAAAACAAAAGAGAATAATACCTATATAAAATCTTTGGATTTGTAGGGTCGCGATATATTAAAGTTTCGACTATTTTCTTTTTGTTTGATTAATGTTTATTAATTCTTTATAAAAGTATAGCTCATCTACCAAAAGCTCTGGAAATCCGCATTTCAAGCTTTTTGCAAAAATTATAAAAATTTTGCAAGTTCCACCAAAGTTTCAAGCTTTTTATTTAGAATACTAACAAAAAAAAAAATCGGCATTGTAGTCCATAAAATTCTAGTACAAAAAAGTGCAAGTTTCAAGTAGGGTCAAAACCCCCGTTGATTTTTACATTTTTTAATGGCAGTCTCATACAAAGTACGTTCGAAAATTTTTTCTATACATATACCCAATTTAATAGACACGCTTAAAATACAAACAAAACTCAAAATCTGAAAGTTCTTAAATTTTCTTAGCAGTGTGCACTTATCGATTATTTTCAGTGCTAATAAACGTTCAATGTTAAATGAGACGAATAGAAGTACTAGTTTTTAACAATTTTCAAAACTTTTATTAAAATTGAAAAAATATAAAATAAATAGAAAATATTAAATATTTAATAAATTAGAAAAAAAAACCATTTTGCAAAAGTAGGGTCCAAGGGGCCAACGAAAACTTATGGGACCAGTTTTGGTCCAAATGAACCAAATGTGGCAACCGTGGTTAAGGCAGCATTAACGCTCTCATTTAAGTACATATGTATTTGCCATCCAAACGTGCGCCGCATTCTTGCTAACACTATGCTACTCAGTGGAGAGGTGCGCATGTGTAGATTACATTAAATACAGTTGAATGTTGCGTGGTACGCTGTCCGATAAATGCATACATATGTACATTTGTACAAATGCACCTACATATGTATATACTTCGTTCATATCGACATATATACCACACATCTGTACATATACACACATCCACATATATGTTTCTACTTATATACATATATATCTATGTACATAGTACTTATGTCATACACACAAGTTTGTTGTTTCTATTGGACCCACTGTACGGCAGCATCCGTAGCTTCTGCCAGTTGGGGTGGCCAACAGATATCAGCACCACAACAATTTCATAGTGAACATCTCTCAGTTCCAGCAATATAAGACCAACAAAAAAGGCAAAACCGTGACAGCACCAACCGCCGAAACGGTAAACATCTATTGTTTTATTTTCATGTTAGCTATCGAGTCTGTCAAGCAATTTCATGTCTTTGGTGATGGCCAACTGAGCCTGGTCTAAACACTTGGTGTTCATTGCTGTTTGGGAGTTAGTCGTGTTCGGACGTGTTTTAAAGAGCTGTGCATAAAGTTGTTCGCTTTGCTCCAAATGAGCTTTTTCCATTTATGGTCAAATATGTATATTTATATATGTTTGTATGTATACATACTTCATATCTAAACTCACGTATATACGTGGCGAACATCGGTTGCATTGATGCGAGTTTAAAGTTGAAAACTTATAAAAAGTTGTTTGAATAACAAGATTTTGCAAATTAGAAATTTGCTATTAAAAATTCATTTGGTTAGTTTCGTAATATTCACAGATAATTAAGGTTGACCTGTGAGTGTGTACAAATACTAAAGTGATTTTCAAGGTGTGCAAAATATTTTGTGTTGTATTTTTATAATACTACTTACATATATCATTTGTAACCGTATTATGTTACTTTATTAAAAAATATTTAATAAATATTTAGATAAATACTACATATGTATAATGAAAAATAACTGAATATAAAGGCAGCGGTGATTGCTACCTGATTTATGTGTTACTATTTTAAGAAAAATAGAAAGTCCGTGGGCAGGATCCTAAAACGAAACCATATACATACATATACATAGCTGAACGGAACATGGCTGCGTCTAAATTGATTATTCAACACATCATAATCGGATTACTTTGCTACTACTGTGAGTATACCTATAAAAGATTTGTTATATTTGGTTTAATCACACCTTGGTGTTTACTGAGTTATAACCGTCATTGAGTTTCCAAGAACACGAAGTACACTGAAGAATTTGATCATCTTTAACTAATTAACCCATTAACTAGGAAAGTGGGAAGAACTTATTTAATTGTAAATAGGTACATACATATGTACATAAGACTGCATCACCCCCCCATAGAAAAAAAAAAAAAAATCGGTACTGTTTTTCCACTGGAATTATAAAATCTATTATACTTTAAGACTTCCACCAAAATATCTCGGAAAAATATTAAGATTTACGTGAGCTGGACCGATTTGAAAATACCTGCAAAAATTTAGTTTGTTTTATTAATAAAAAGTTTTTTTAAGCATTTTTTTTTAAATCACCTCAGATGACCAAACAGTTTAAGCTTAAGAAATTTGCATAAAAATATTTTTAAAAAATTTTCTAAGGAATCATAATAATGAGATTTTTGCTGCTGTTTTGAACTTTTTCAAAAAACTGGTTTAAGAAAAACTTTAATAACTCAGCCAAAACCGTACCAATTTACACTTCCCGGGTATCATTGGTAAGGTATTTTCTTTCCCTTGCGATTAAGCTCATTCAAAGTATGAAAGAGGAAGGTGAGATAAACGAGTGTCATTCCATGTTGAATTGTGATGTGTTGGTATTTGCAAAGAAATAAAAAGTCTGAGAAAATACCTTTCCACTGATACCTTCCCAAGTCTATATCGGTTTGAGGCAGTTACTCAAGTTTTTCTTACACAACTCTTTGAAAAAAGTTAAATCAAAAAACAGCATCAAACCTCCCATTATTATGATTTCGTTCATACAAAATTTCAATATTTTTTTGTAGATTTTTTAAGCTTAAACTGTTTTGTCCTCTAAGGGCATTTTTTCCAAAAAAAATGCAACTTTTTTTGGTGATGCAGTCTAATGTACATAGATATCATTTCTTGTATTGAAAAATGAATTCAGGTAAAAATTAGTTATCTGCACATACCAATACATATGTATATATGTATGTATGCAGTGTATGTCCTTGCAAATATAATAAAATCTTACATCGCATCTATATGCACCTGCATTAATCTGTTGCATATTTGTTTGTTTGTTTTTTTCAATAGAAATTGTTACAGTATGCATATGTTTACGTACACATTAGGGGTATTCTCTGAGTCTTGTAACGCCCTTGCACGGTAAAAATCGGTTTTCATACGGCACAGCTTTGCAAAACGTACAATCCGTGCACCGTGCAAGGGATTTGCAAGACTCAGAGAATACCCCTATTAAATTATAAAATCTTTAGTTATACGCACGTATCTATGGATACGTACATATGTATGCATGTGTATATATTTATATACATATATATGCATTCATAGCCCTGCAGAAAAAAATTATCAATTGATAAAAAATAACCCACTTGTAGTTAGTTTCTATAAAATATATAACTTGTAGTTACCTACAAAAAGCTAACTTAAAACTAGTTGACAAGTATTGCAGCAGTAATGCAGGAGATTGTTATCTTTAAACGCGTTTCTATTTAAATATCCTGCACTTCGCAAATACTTTTTCGAATTGAGGACAAATAAAAGGACAATCGAAATTTCATATTATCATTTTGAGGTTATGTCTGACGGAGTTCGAATATGGGACCACCTACAGCAGAATATGTAAACAAATATGAAATGTAATAAAATAAAATAAATAAAGTAAATAAATAAAAACATAAAAAAATATTTTGTTTTTCCAATTAATATTTTATGTCCAAAAGTAGTTAGTTACAAGTTAGTTACATCAAATGCCGAGACAACCATCCTTGACTACATCTAATGTAGAGGTAACCACCCTTGACTTGGCCATCGCCATAAAAATATAGTTAGCTTTCATCAAAGAAAATATACAGATAATTGTGACTTTTAGCTCCTTCCTAATCCACTTAAAGTTAGCTTATAGTTAGATACATTTCCTGCAGGGTGTTAGTAACTCTGACCGATCGGTTTACGCGCTCACTTACGCCTGCTAACTGCTTCTGGTTGTCTTGATATTTAAGACGTTGCACATATGTATGTTCGTATAAGTATATATGTATGTGTGTGTCTATACCCAGTACGAAAGAAACTAGTTTAAATATCGATGTTCAATCAGTTTTTTGCACACCACAACTAGTTCAAGATCTAACTTTCTTCCTTGGAACGAACTGTTGACTTTAACATGGCGATGTCCTAGGCATCAGTCAATTATCCGAATTTGCATTTGATTTCAACTACTTTAAAAGTCGGTACGTTCTTTTTGAATACGCTTTCGTTTTGCACTTCCCAGATGATTTTTCATAATTACGAAAAGCCGAAATAAAAAATTTAAAATTAAATGTTCCACCTAACTTTGCTCCGATCGGAGTAGCTCTTCACAGAAAAAAAAATGTAAAAAATATATTCTTTGAAATAAAATGTTGGTTTGGCGTTTTTTGTTTCCATATAGACAATAGAGAATTACAGGAATTAAAATTTTGGAATAAAGTTAAACACAGGGTGTCCCTGCTGTGTTCCAAGATAAAACAATTTTTCTAAACAAAATTTCAAAAAATGCTAAATTTTAATGGGAATAAAAAATATATGTGAAAATAGGTTATTTTTTATTACTTTATTAAAAAGTACGGGCTTTTAGCTTTCAAAAGAAGGTTTAAAAACCTGCTAATTTTTTGCGCTTTCTGAAATAATGCTTTTTTCCCTAATGCATAAAATAATTTTTTAATTTTTGTCAGTGCCTTGAGATCTGAACGATTCGTTCCATTTTCAAAAACGAACTGTGGACAATAGAAGGGATAATTTTTTTTAAAGAGTTGCCACCTGTTAAAAAATTAGATTGTTAAGAAATTTGATTAAAATTTTTTTATACGTTAAGTGAATTACTAAGAGATGGGTATCAATCGAAATGTGTATTAGCTACATGTAGAGAGTTGCCACCTGTTTAAAAAAATTAAATTCCACTTGAATTAAGGGAATTAGGTTATTGAAATACATAGGTATCACCATAACGGAGTCAGGCGAAAGAGGTTTAAGAAGGTTTTAGCTTAAAAATATTATGAATAGGGTTACCATCTGTTTGTAAAGTCAAATTTAGTTAAACTAAAATAATAATTACGTCAAACCATAGGATTACGCCATCGTATTTGTTGTTTTATTACAAATACATACATTGTCAATCAGTAATTTGTTCTGATTACATTCCTTTTAAATTACTGGACTCTTAAATTAACTCAGGAATGTTTTTACTCTCCACTTATTACTTGCTAAATATATTAAATTTTTTCATTTGTCTGATACTCATATTTATATACACATTTCATTTACCTTATTCCCTTAATTAAAGTGAATTTGATTTTTTAAACATGTGGCAACTCTTCTACGTGTGGTTTAGAAGTAAATTATTTTCAAAACTAGTTCAATTGATACCCATATTGTGATATCTAATTCATTTAACTTATTAAATGATTTTAATAAATTTTGTAACAGGTGGCAACCCCTTTCAAAAATAAAAAACTTTATTGCACATCCACAGGCCAAGCACTATCATTTGACATCTCACTTTTGAAAATAGAACGAACTATATGTACATACCTATGTAAATGCCACAAGAACCCAAACTCTTGAACCTCAAACTGCATTTACAGTGAAATTATAAAAGCTATCCAAAAACCAATTGGATTTTTGAATTTAGCGTCCTCAATTTTACTAAGAAGCGAAATTTCATTAAATCCGTCCATATTCTATTCTTTTATATAGAAGGGAAGCACTGTGCGCTGGTCTATAGAGATATTTATTTGGCATAGACAAGGGTCACATTTACATATGGGGTATTCCATCGTCACGGGTGGGACATTTGTACAGCAAAAATAGTTTTTCTTTTTTAATTTAAATATAAAGTACTAAGCAATTCTACATTTTGATAAAGCTACACCTAGTTCACTAATATACGAGTTATTACCAAATACGAAAAATATTCCAACTTGATTTTATATTGGAAAATTCTGAGCTGTTTCTTCCGTCACGGGTAGGACAAAGAAAAGACACTGCTTTTTGGAGAACATATATTTTAAGGAAAGTCTGTGAATTTACTTAACATTTCTATCTGGATTAGATGTTTTACTATACAGAAAAGAACCAGCAATCCCAACAAAGCACAAACCATAATAAGAATTATTTGTTTATTATTAAAAAATTCAAAATTCTCCTGTCACGGGTGGGACAACTTTTGTCACGGGTGGGACACGTACGATTTTCTTCATGAAAGGAAGCTTCTAGTGAGATCCATATCAAAGAGATTAGGTATGATAAATGTTAGAGGTCAAATACAAGATCAATTGACCTACTTTTATGACAGTGGAGTCATTGTAAGACGCACGATATACTGCTGACCCCAGGATCTATTTTAGGGGCAATAGTTATACCAAACGAAAGCTAGAAGTCGCCAGATTGATGTATTAAAATGCATGGAAGAAAGGATTATTTGCAAACGCATGAAATTTTATATGCATTTTCCTAATGCACTTCTGCACGGTGCATTTGATTGCAACGAAATTTCGAATGTGCCTTAATGATTTTCAAGTTTGTTTAGAATAGCTATGTATGTCTGACTAATACTAACTACAGGCTAAACATGTATATCGACTACTGTTATCACGTCGATAGAGATGTCTAACCTGCTGTTAGTGTTGACCAGACATTGAGTAACCGGCTTAAGAGTGGCTCGAGTTGAGTTATTGTTGGAAACTGATTTCATGGACAAATCATGCTCAAATTTAGCTATTCCTTAAAACCATAGAACGTCAGAAAAGATCTTGTGTATCGATGTCTAATCCGAAAAGTTATCTGCATTAGAATACTTGTAAGCAGATACATATGTATATCTTTGTCACTTAAAGGCTATTTATTGGATTGAATTTATAAGTTTCGCGAACTTCTAGATTTTCTTGGTTG